ACTATTGTAAAACACACCGGAACTCTAAAGAAATAGTTAATTTAAATAGTTTTTTGATTAGGTGCGCTGCGAGAACTTAGCGCACCTTTTTTGAAAGTCTTTTTTTTTGTATTTAATGACCGGAACTATTTAAAATTGTTGCATAGAGCTCTAGAACTTTTCAAGAGAGTACCAGAACTGCAAAAAAAATGTCACATTTTTGAATATGGTGTGCCAAGACTTGGCATTGTATATTGATATAATTTGTCTAATAATCTATCTCTATCTACTGTCTCAAATGCCTTTTTTAAATCCAAAAATATTACTCTTACACTGTCTCCTTTACTAATTGTCTTTTTCCAAACGTCAATAATAGTTTGTATTGCTGTCTCACACGAGTGATTTTTCCTAAAACCCGATTGGTGTTCTGTAATAATGTTATTATTTTGTAAATACGTGTCAATTTGCTCCTTTACAACTAACTTTAGTACTTTTTTATATATTGGTAATATATTTATTGGCCTATATTCGCTTGCTTTCTTGGATTTATTAATCTTAGGAATCGTATTATTGTGGATGTTTTCCATCCCTCCGGACATTCACCTTTATTTAATACATCATGTACCAACTCCTGTAATTCCTTCCCTATCACGCAAAAACATACCTTTAGTATATCGCTCGTTATCCCTTCATCTGTTCCTTTCTTACATGGCAAGTCCATAACAATTCATTCTAATTGGTGTACATTTATCAGTTCAAAATTTTCTATAATTTACTTGCTTTCTATAACATAAATAGTTACCTGTCTATTACTACTCTCCTTTTCTATAGATTCAATTATGTCATCAATACTCTGTATGTAATACAAATTAAACTTATCTGCCAAACTATGTTCCCCCGTGTTTTGCAATATCTCAACATTTATATTATTTATTTCATTTTCACCCGCTATTTCATCTCTTAATACTTTTTTTAAAGTTTTTCACATCATTACAGGGTCATTTTTGTTATAATCTATCATGTTTTCATAGTACGTTTTCTTTTCTTTCTTAATTAATTTAATTACCATATTTCTTTTAAGTTTAAAATGCATCCAATCCCGTTCCGTGCACGTACGTATCGCTCTCATATATGCCTCGTCCCTACTTTTTCTAGCTACTCTTATATCATCCGAGTATTTTTCCCTTCCCATATCTTTGGAATTTTAAACTTCTTCTCTGGTGCAACTGTATTTAATGCATTTACTATACTTTGAACAAATTTATCTGCTCTTACGTTTATATCTAAATCATCTCTACATTCTAATCTTTCTTCTATTGCTTTAAAAAATTCACCTATATGAAACTTACTATAATCCCTACTAGTAAATTCTCTATATTTCTTACCCTCGTTATTTATAAAGAGCTCAACGTTTATCCACAAGTGATCTGTTATCTTTGGCTTCTCATGTACTTTACAATTCACTTTACTATTTGCAAACACTAAATCTATTAATGTTATACTCTCTTTCGTAATTCGCGTAGGTTTATCAATATATTGTTTCATACCTCAATATGCCATTTCTGTTGTTAGCTTTTTCGTGTAACGAATCTTTCATTAAATCTATATTAAAGTCCTCTATCATTATACATTGACCTTTCACTACCAGTAGGTCTATTATATCCTTCAAGAACCGTATAAAGTCACCATCTGATGCACTCGGTGAGTGGTACACAACAGCAATTGCCCCTTTGAACACATTGTCTCTTACTTCTACCGCTACAAACCAACAGTTAGATTTATTTTTTCTCTTAATATTACTTCATATTTGATGTCGTTTCTTATATATATCATAACCTCTCCTGTGTTTCTGTTTTCCGAATCACTTCTAATGTCACTATAACCTGACTGGTCCACTTCATTATCTTCAATGTCTCAATATCTAATATCTGTCTCCTATATCAATCTTGTCTCCGATAACGCCAATAGTATCGGGTTCATCGTCTTCATAACTTGATGTTGAATTTCTTCCTGATGTGCCATTGTACTCTGAGCGTTTGTGTATATAATTATCTCCTTTCGTAATTGCTATTTGCTAGAATTCCAGCCAACACTCTTCTTCTCCTCCTCTAATGCTCTGATGTAAGTTGGACACTCCACACTCAGAGCATCATGTTCATCATTTATTTTCAAGTTGTACGTTTTATTTTTATACATATAATTTATCTCTTTTTTGTTGCCATATATTCACTTGTCTTGTGATATTCTGCACACTTACGACAAGTTTCCTGCCGTATACAGTTTTTGGCAATATAATAATAACTCCAACATCTGAAGCATCTTCTAACACTGTAGTGGTTAAACTCCATATATTTTCTCCATCCAATGTTTATTTTTCCTCTTTTTAACATTGACTCATGTGTCATTTCATCTACCTCGAGTATTACCGAGACTTCTTCATTACTTCCTCTTCTGTTTCCCTCCTTCCCTCTCATTGCCAATCCTCTTCACCATTCTTATGTAAAATCCTGCTTCTTTCCCATCAATATTATTTTGCTTCTTTTGATCGTCTACTAAATTTTCATCATTCAGTTTCATTTCTTCACCATCAATATTTATAACTTTTAACTTTGGTTTTATCTTCTTCGGTTCTATGTTCTCGAAGTCTTTGCCTAGCTTCTCGTTTACTGTGTCTTTCAGTTGTTTTATTTCTCTCTCACTTTCAAACCCAAGTATAACCGATCCTTTACCTCCTTTCCTGAGCTTTGTTATTCCTACAGCTAAATTTTATATATCTACTTTTTCTTTTACCATTTTCCTGGTGATTTCGCTCTCCTGTTCCTTTTTTGGCTTAACAATCAATAAGCTTTCTTTCTTTTCTTTCATTGCCTCACTATAACTTCTTTGCCCACTCCTCGTCACTCCAGTGGTTCCTCCTTATATACTTTGTTTCAGTTCTTCAAATTCTCGTTTGAATGTTACCAACTCCTCCCGAATTATTTGTTTTATCATCATCTTGATTCCACTCTTGCACGCTACCTCGTCCTTCATCTCTTTAACTGTTGACACCAGCCAATCTATCTTCATATCTACATTAGATTGTTTGCTGCCACCCGATATATTTACTGCTGCTCCTATAGATTCAGTTGATCCCAGTCTTTTCCTTCCAGATGATCTCTTTAACTCCGATTTTTCATTTTCAATAACAATCGCATCTTACTGCCTCTTTGTCTTTCATAATCTTGTGTTTACTTTCGCTTCCTGGATGGAAAAAAAACTTTATACACGTGCATTGCAGAACCACGCTTTTCACTTCCTTTCTACATGCCGAACATCGGTACTCAGCGTATTCGGCTCCAATCATGTCGATATTACCGACAGATATCACCGACATATCACCGATACCGACAGATAACGGCGCCACTCCTTAACTCTCCAATTAGACACCTTCGCTGTCACTTATCCTTGGTTACCCGTTCATTTCTTGAGCCGGAGTAATATATAATAAATATCGTTTTTCACTCACAATTTAACACATTCCGGCTAGATAACACCACCCAGTGAACCTTGACTATACCGGAACCTCTGGAGCAAGTTTAACACTCATCACCACTCTCTTCTAACCACCATAAAAACTATGACTTTCACGGAGCGATGTGACACACCTCCAGTCATCCAGAGAGAGAGAGAGAGAGAGAGAGAGGAGTACAGCGGATCTCTCGATCACGTGTGTACACTACCGAGATTTGATTCACGGAGTTGAGTCGCGCTAATGCGACTCCTGAACAGTGGTATCTTGTTCGCATGTGCGATTTCAAGATCTAGGCACGGAGTAGGGATTGCGCGCTGACGCCACTATCTTAGGCTGCGTTCAGATTCCTTACCCGGGTGCACTCTAATACAAGAAGTGCTATAGTATATGTGACATATACTATAGTGTTTCTAGTAACAGAGTGCACCTAGGTAGGGAATCTGAACGCACCCTTACATGGCGCTTATGTATAAAAAGTAACACGTAAACATGCATTTGTCAGTTGCAAATGACCTACGCTAAGGATTAATTCGAAAATTTGGGCACAATTAATTGAATGCTTATAGAAGTACATGCTTCAGTTTCAGCGAAATAGACTGTATATTATTAGAATATGATTAATCAGCAAAAATAAGTTTGGCCTTTGCTTTTTCGTTCGCGACCATGCTTTGCGGACGATGCAACGTTGTATAGCTTGGCGTCGCTTAGCGCTAATAGAGATGCGACGTTGCCATGATCTATAGTTCCGCGACTACAATGCAATTCAGCATACTGTTTCTTTTTCTATCATTTCACTTATTTTATCGATTTTACTATTTTGAGAGAACCAATAATGTTTAAAAATCTGTTTTTCATTTTCACATAAAAGAATTCATCGGTTATTGAATCTTATTTAATTCGAATAAAATCCTTGCGTGAAATCGGGTTGAATTAGGATGAAATGTTTAATTCTTTTCGTAAAATGTCTGTTTTTTTTTAAATCAGCATGTGAACAAAGCATCGCGTTTTCACGACAGATGTTTACCTTCGTCCGGTATAACAGCACCGTCGACGGCGTAGACAATGAACAATCCCAGAATCAGCACCGTCAGGACTCGCATCCTGACGTGTAGCTGCGTGTCCATAGCTCACGCGAATAATCAACTGGACTTTTTTCGCGAGAAGCAAAGATGAGGAAGTAGCGGTCGCCCGCGAGTTCCTTTCGAGAATACATTCCTCTCGATGTTGCTCTCGGAGTCGCGATGCGGAAAGTTCTGACGGACGCGCGAGCTCGCGCGAGAATACGAGAGACCGTCCGTGGACTGAAGCGCGGACGCGGGTCGCCCGCGACTTTATATGTCGCCCACAACGGTTTTACGAATGAGATTTCGTGCGTGTCGCTACCTGTACGAGGGAGCGGAAAAAAGTATTGATGAATTGGGAGCTTATCGCAATGAATTAATCCAGTCGTGTCACATCTTTCAAGTCGCAAAAAGGACAGGAACGAGGTGGGACTCTTTAGTAGGACATCTTTGCAGAAAAGGGTAATTTAATTTCCAACTGAAGATCACCGATAAACAAGCGGAAACAGACAGTTAGATGAGCGATCTTGTTGATCTGGCTGAAATGTAAAATTGGTATCGCGATGTCGAGCTTCACACACTATTACTCTGTGTTCTGTAATAGTGATGCGCACGCTCACACGCTGTTTCCTACGGTATGGAATATTCATAGCGGAAAGGCGCGTCGCAACCAACATAAATCAATCGCTTCCTTCTACGGTGGCAGAAAAAATATCTCGGCGGAATCGATTAGCGCGAAATACACTCATTCGCACATCAGTGCTCCATGTTATTTTGGAACGTAGACCTATGTGTGTGTGTGTGTGTGTCGTCAAAAGACAGAAACACGACAGACAAAAAACAAACGAGGAAACTCTATGAATAATGCCTTTTCTGTGTCCCAATGCGTTTTCCGCCTCCTTATTTACTTCGAGAATCTTTTATCGATGGATTCGCGATTCAGGAACGACTCCTCATCTCGACAGTCTCGTCTGTCTCGTTGACAGTAATATACTTAGTCTTCTCAACGCGATGTAACAGGTATATAACAATATCGCTGATGCCAGTTACACGTGTGTAGAAAGTGGTCCCACATATACACACCAGTTTCGAAGCTGTGCGAAGCCTAGTTTCCTTTACACTTAATGTACATATTTTGAGAAATGGTAGAAAATGGGAGAGACTAGAAACAATGGGGCCTGTATCGGTTCGGTAGCGTTTACTAATCGTCCGCGAAGACCATGAATCAACTCGTAATCTTCTCGACCGATTATATCGTGGCAAAATGCTTCGAATATTGTGCCGTGCTTCTCGTCCACATTGTAACACGTTGCTGTACGCATTCCGAACGCGCGTAACGAAAAGGCCCATTTCGTCTTTCATCGCATTTCATTTGGACGGTATGAACGCAGTACCTCGCATCTGAAAAAACACGATCGTTACGGCGTAACGCATAGTCGATGCGTGATCACGCAATTATCACTAAGGAAAGGAAGAATCATGTCTGCGAGAAAGATGCATGTACGAGGTGTCGCGTCATCTGCATGCTGGCTCGCTCGTCTAAATGCATCCGTTTGATTTGGCGAACGTCGGGTTCATCGTCAATAGAGAAGTCTGATCGACAGGGACAGCGGCGTGATGCTGGCCTTGATGGTGGCTGCTCACTTCGGCGTCTAGAACGAAGAAATTTACATGACAGATGGAAGAAGTGATATGCGCGAGGAAACTCGGTGCACGGGGAAAATAATGTAGTAAAAATTACGTTGAAGTTATATTTCTTTTTTCAGTGTTCTAGTATAAAAATTACTATGAAAATAGACAATTTGATGAACTACCTGATATACTACATGAAAGATATTCAAGTAATTGCAATATTTTGCTGTAAAACGTCAAACGTGTGTGACGTTTCCAAACAAATATATAATAATTTCCTTCATAATCCTATACAGTCCAGGATTTTATATATAAAAGAATTTTGTTATTATTTTTACTACAATTACAATTTTACTTTATGTTTGTGATAGCACCAGGCGCGATTGTGAGATCGCGCAAGTGGCTCGCTGAGCGCTTGGAAAACGAGTGAGTACGAGGAAAGTAGTGAGTACGAGGAAACTTTCGAAAAATTAAAAAAAACACTGTTTCTAACAAAACAACGCACAACAGTTTTAATAAGTCGGGTTACACTTGAACGAACACACAATTAAGCTCCCGCTCCACGCTAGAGCAACGAGAGCGTCGGATAGAGCACGACGGGCGTCTATCCGACAGCAACGAGTATGGTCCCGCAACCGTCGCCACCAGGCGATGGGCGATGCAGCCTGCAAGGTTGCAGCATTGCATGCCGGCCAACGCGGCCAAGCGCATGCAAAGCGAAGCACTATGGTGAAGCACACCAAAAACACGTGCAGTCAAAAGGCGACGCAAGTATCTTGCAACCAACAATTGACAGTTTCTGTATCGAAAAATGCGAGCATAATCGCCTGTTGCGAGCAAGAGCTAGACTGACTGTCGCGGAGCTCGCGGCCGGGCTCCAGCAGCTGTTTCCATGCGAAATTTGGCCATATAAGAAATTGCCCATATAAGGCAATGTTTACCACCTAGTCTCAGCAGGCGCTAAACGCGTGACAACCGTAGCGCGAGTCACGCAGAGGCAAAACAAGGAGCAGATCTCATCGCTCACCCTGCTTTGTCGAGCGATCCGCTACATCCCGCCCGCCTCGTTGACGCCTCAAACGAAACGAGCCCGATTCCTCGATACTCGACTACATGTATATGTACCCGGTGGAAGTGTAATTCGTGCTGTTGATAATGTGTTATTAGTTGTTGTAAGAAATGCATAGTTACATTGAACATCTGTTATATGAAGTTGGGGAGTTAAAGAGAATCGGCAAAGCTATTAAGAAAACGGTGAGGATAGAATCTCTGGCGTACGCGACAACCGGAAGTTCTACGGTCGCATTGATGGGCATCAAAGGGGGATAGGATTGAAGATTTGTCTGTAAGTACACGCGATAAAATGAGTGTTAGCTAACTTCAACTTGTCAGTGGAGAAAAGAAACGAATACGTGTTGTGATTAGAGTAAAAACATGCCGACTCTTAATGACACTACACTAAAAGTGAGCCAGAAAAGTGTAAATATTCTTTTGTTTTTTTTTTCTTTTCAAATGTAAGTGGTTTGTTTCGCTTCGTTTCATACGGTGAGGCGAAGATACTTGTTACATTTATCGTACAATTATCGTGTTCAACAGTGGTGAATGATAGATCAAGCGTGAATAATCGAATTAGCACGACAATTACATGAGTTTGTCTTGGTTCGGATTCTATTTCACGCTCAGACCATAGTCGTATGTTTTATTGATATTAACATCTGCTATGAAATCGATATGTAACGTTATCTGTAATAGTGTCCATTGTAATAGCGTCACTTGCAGAAAAACAAAATGTAAAATTAACCGATGTTGTCGGTGAGAAGCTTCGTTAAGAATTTACGCATCGACAAGCGCGATGCTGCCTATCCTATGGTGAAAAAATACTCACATTGTTCCTTTGTCGTATGTTGAAGATGCCGTAGATGATGGGATTCATGCAGGGGTTTGTGCTCCTAAGTAAAACGAGAGCCTTCCGAATGCGTTGGTCGACTTCCCGGAGTGACGACCGATCAATGCAATACCTGTTTTGCACGCGTTCGACAATATAATTATATACTTGTACAGTTCGATGTTCAACTCGATCAGGGATGTTATTATCTTATCCTTCTTTTTCTACAAAACGTGATTCACACGACACTCGTATCGATCACGACCGCGAATGTTGGTCATATTGGCGATATTTCTTTCATCGTTCATATTATAAGCCCAAATTTGACGTTTACACACTGTTTTGTACGTCAAGAAATCGTACTCGCACGATTGTCGTAGTATCGCATAATGAGTCCGACAGAATTAATAGTACTTACCACAAGCTTAGTACAGAGTAAGGGGTCCAGCAGATGATGAAAACCACGATAATGGTTATTGTCATTTTTAAAGTGCGCACTCGTGCTCGACTGAGGAATCCGATCGATGAACGGCGTATTCTATCTGTAAGAAATGCTGCTTTAATTTATCGGCCGTTTCACTCCCGAATTACAGACGAGTTATTCCATCAGTTTCATGATTGAATTTTTCGTTATTTCGTAAGAGTAGGTGAAAATATTGGTAAGGGGCAAGAAGATTCCTGTCAATTATTGCAACCAAGTTTTAACACAGCTGAATATTCAGACATGAATACTTTTAATTGCGGTAACAGAGATATGTCGCCGAATTTTCACCTGATCCCTATTCAGTTAGAAGAACCAAAATATTTTCCCGTGTATCTTTATCTCGAAGAATAATATAAGTCTGTGAGATAAATTTTCTAACAGTTTTGAGCGTTCTTGGTACAAGATTGCGTCGATCATACCTTCTTTGGATTTGCGTGAGATCTCCACGAATATTCTGGTATAGGTATAAAACATCACGCACAGGGGGAACCAGAATACTGTCGTTATTCCGAACAAAAAGTACAACAGTTCGTACACGTGCGACGGATAAGTGTTGTGTGTTGTACACTGTGTGACATAAGTGTAGCCGGGACGCACCTCGAGATGGAATACTAGTACCTGCGGAAAGTTAAGCGCGGAATAAATTACTCAACGTGGCTGCAAGCATCGTAAGAAATTATTCACAAGTTGGCGCACCTGCGGAAAGGAACAGAATATGGAGCCCACCCACGCGAAAATCAGAGTTATCTTTCCTCTTCTGTGAACGTCCAATATCTGGAGCGGTCGCATTACCGCGTAATATCTAAAAATTTATTGAAAAGTTATTAACGCTTCGATAAATTTCGAGCAAGTTTCGATTTGAATGAAAAAAGCTCGCAAAAGTCGATTGTATGGTCACTAATTGAGCAGTTACTCTATTCAATATTGGATAACTAATTTTAACTAACTAAGCGACGGATGCGCGTGGCGAGATTCTAGGAACAGCCAATCGTTCATTAGGATACACTATGACACTGACCTATCTATACTTATGCAGACAATTATGAAAGATGAAAGATACTGGCCGAATGTTCTGAAGAAGGTCATTATACGACACATCGCGTCTCCAGCTTCCCATGACACCGTAATCGACCATCCGATTTCTAACGGCATCATCAGGAACGTCACCTGAAAAGAAAATGATTGGGTCCGCTTGTAATTGACTTATTAGTTTATACAAGGGACTGTAAAATTATATCATCTAACTTTGCGTTCTATCGCATGTATCTTTATATATTGTATTATTGTTTAATTATTTTAATTATTATATTGTTGACAATATTCGATAGTCAGCACTTACAAAGAGATCAGCTATCGCCAGATGCATCACCAGGGTATTTATCCGGGACTTGGACTTTTGTTTTCGTATTATAGTCATTATTAGCATAGCAATATTTCCAGTCCCCGATATTACAATTAAGATACTATAAGCAATTATCTTTATCATCTTGCCCTGTTTGACGTTCATGTCGATCAGCGCATCCATATAGTCATATTTGGGGCTCACTCCGGTTTCGTTTAATCGCAATGTCTCCTCCATACCGTCGAGAAACAAATTATTACTTTATCTGAAACTGTTATTTCCGATTTTATGAAAAGACGTTCTTTATCTCAAATAGTTCTATTTACTGATTAGAATTTAAGAGATGACTGGAACGAAAGGGAAAGATGAGGGATTTCTATATCCCATAAGGCGAATTCATTTGGGACACGATCGCACTTTTAGCTCGGCAAGTTTGTGAAATATAAATCGAGATAATGCATCTGCTTTGTTCACGAGGCATTTTAGCGGCACATTTCCCAAAGACAGAGAGAGAGCGAGAGAGAGAGAGAGAAAGAGTGAGGGGGGAGCGGGAGAGGGAGAGGGGGAGGGAGAGAGAGACTGAACTTTATTAGCTTTCAGCTACTTGTTTTACATCTAAGTCTAAATATCTTACATTCTAGTTAACTTATACATCTAAAAAGAAAACAAGAAAAAATCTTACATTCAAGTTAATTTCTACATCTAGGTATTTTACATTGTAGGTAACTTGGTTAATATTAGGTGTACAACTTTGCTTTCGCTGTTTTTTTCTGAAATTCGAGGCTTTATTGTAAAAAACTGGTTATACATTTATGATTCAAAGTATTGTCCATCGCTGGCCACTACTTTCTCCCATCTTTCGGGCAGCGTACGAATCCCGCGTCGAAAAAACTGGTCACCTTTTGAGGCGATCCACGAATCGGTCCAATTTTTTACTTCTTCATAAGACCGGAAGTGCTGGTCAGCCAGGCCGTGTGCCATTGATCGAAACAAGTGATAGTCAGAGGGAGCAACGTCTGGAGAATACGGCAGGTGGGATAGAATTTCCCATTTCAACGTTTCCAAGTATGTCTTGATCACTTTCACAACATGGGGTCGAGCATTGTCATGCTGCAAAATCACTTTATCGTATCTCTCGTTGTATTGCGACCGTTTGTCTTTCAATGCTCGGCTCAAACGCATCAATTGCGTTCGATATCAATCGCCTGTGATTGTTTCAGTCGGTTTTAACAGCTCATAATACACTACGCCGAGCTGATCCCACTAAATACAGAGCATGACCTTGGAGCCGTGAATATTCGGTTTGGCCGTCGACGTGGAAACATGGCCGGGAACTCCCCATGATTTTCTGCGCTTGGGGTTATCGTAATGAACCCATTTTTCATCCCCAGTCACAATGCGATGCAGAAATCCCTTCCGTCTTTGCCTTTCGAGCAGCTGTTCACAAGCAAACAAATGCTGTTCAACATCTCTCGGCTTCAATTCGTACGGTACCCAATTTCCTTGCTTTTGAATTATTCCCATGGCTTTGAGGCGTTTTGAAATGGCTTGTTGAGTCACTCCCAATGATCGTGCCAATTCTTCTTGATTTTGACACGAGTCTTGATCAAGTAATGCCTCCAATTCTGCATCTTCGAAAACCTTCTCTCTTCCACCGCTATACCGGACTTCGACGTCAAAATTACCGTTCTGGAAGCGTTAAAACCACTCACGACACGTTCTTTCACTAATAGCGTCTTCACCATAAGTATTTGAGAGCATTCGATGAGCCTCAGCCGCAGATTTCTTCATATTGAAGCAGAAAATTAAAACCTCCCGCAAATGACGAGAATTTGGCTCGTAAACTGACATTTTCAATCGAGAATAACTTTATGATGCAGACACAAATCGACTAATGTTTCTATGGGGTTATGTTGACAGATGCCCAAGTTTATTGTATGACGTCTATGATCTATTTATTTCGACCACCACTTACCGCTAAAGCCATCTATAGGAAAACGGCGGAAGCAAAGTTGTACACCTAATATATATTCTCTTAACATTCGCTTAAATATTACAAGATTATAACATCGTCTCAACTTTATTGGTATGTTATTGAATCTTTTTACTCCTTCGTAAAAGACTTTTTTGCGGACTCTTTGCTTTCCGAAATTGTATCACAATGTCATTATATTGCCCCGTTTCCCTTTCATTTACCTCTCTTACTAATACTAGCTTATCCCTTAGCAGTTCTGGCATCATACCTCTTATTATTTTAAAAATAAAAATACATATGTGTAGTTTAATCCCTGCCTTATCGACATAAATTATACCGTTTGCATCATCCTTTCTACTCTAGTATACCTATCACATTGCAATGTAATCCTCATAGCTCGATTTTGTGCGACATGCAATTTACTCATTTGTGTTTCATTCATATCTATTATTAGTGTCGCACAATACTCGAAGTGCGGTGCTATAATAGCTTTGTATATAACACATCTCGCAGAGAGAGAGAGAGAGAGAGAGAGAGAGAGGGAGGGAGAGGGAGAGGGAGATAGAGAGAGAGAGAGAGGGG